GTTTCCACAGTGGTGGATGATGAAACTCTAAATGTAATGTATGATCTTTGGATCGAAAGAGTTTCATACATGGCGGAGATTTATATCGAGAAGGAAGAAATCGTCCAAATGCCTGTAGTTAATAGCGTATTCACTGGACCAATAGGTAATGTTGGTCAATGATGTCGCTTGTACATGAATTCATGGATCCAACAAAGTTTAACTTCGGTTCTAGTTCAATCGTTCCAGAGATTTCATCGGCATCTCACTATATGCATGATGATCGATCTATGAATTCATTAGAACAATGCTCACATCAAGGTCCATGGGTGCCCAGGAATATTTTCATGGCCTAGATTCGATTCAAGTTTTGGAGATCCAGGGCCATCATGCCATATTTCTCCACATGGGATCGAGTCTAACCCTGGTCAAGGTTGTCGCAGTGGCAGCTGAAGATGATGTATATGCTAGTGGGCATGATAGGCTCCTTGCCTCTGAAGAAGATGATCCGGAAGAAGATGACCCGAAAGTTGATGCGGAAGAGGTTGAAGAGTCGAAGTCGCAAGATGTGTCTGGTAGTGACTCGGATGATGAGCATGAAGGTGGGAGTTTAAGAGTAACCTCGATACCCAACGACCCTTTGTTGGATATCGGGTTGCCAACAAGAATGCGGAGATATCAGACGCAATAGCACAGCTGGCAGCTTGCATATGTTCCAAGAAGAATGTATTTTTCTCGATCTTGGGAGCATAGATGATGATGAATAGAAGAGGAGGATGGATTGGAGCGTATTGTCGCATTCATTGAGGAGAATAATAATATACGTCTCCATATGAGATTTGAGAGTAAGCAACAGCTCAGCCGGGCAGTTAGGATGTGGTCCATCAATCACAATAGGGAGTTCAGAGTTATTTGAGAGTAAGAGTAACACGTGGTTTGCTAAATGCAAATCATCAATTGAAAGAACTCCTTCCACTTTAAGCGCCATCGTATCCACCATGCGACTGGTGTGTTAGAGCCGTAAAGAAAAAGACTCATGGAATGTGGCAAATTAAAAATGGGTCAATGACATAACTGCTTGGGCGACATGATTAGAAATAACAATACAAGCCTGACGGCTTCCGTTATTTCAAGGCACATACTCCGTAGCATTGAAGATGATCCTGGATTAAAGGTCAAGAACATACTAAGTTTCGTTAAAGAAAACTTGAAGGTTGATGTGTCTTACAAAAAAGCCTGGTATGCCAGACGTAAAGCAATTGAGCTTGTGTTTGGATCTTGGGAGGCGAATTTTGCGAACTACCACAGTATCTCGATGCCCTGGTGCAATCCAATCCAGGCACCGTGGTGGAGTGGTCACATCATTCGGATAGTTCGGATCGAGTTAAGACTTTTAAGTATGTATTCTGGGCCTTTGGACCGGCTATTGAAGCATTCCACATGTGCAGGCCGGTTATATGTGTTGATGGCACTCATTTGCGTGGCGAATACAAGGGCAAACTCCTTGTTGCAGTCACTCAAGATGCGAACAACAAGATTCTGCCAATTGCTTATGCCATAGTGATGAGGAACGATTTCCAGTTGGTCGTGGTTCATGGAACAATTAAGATATAATGTGGCACTTGATCGACATCCTATCTGTGTCATTTCGATCGCCACAATGGTATCATCTATACCATGACACACTTTGACTATTGGAGGAACCTTTGGCCTACCATAGTTTTGCCTGCGACATGTTAGGAGCAATTTGATGACACACTTCAAAGGTTTACACCTTAAAAGTTGTGTTGGGTATGGGAAGGGCAAGACAATTGCGCAAGTGGCGGATGTTCAGAAGAGAACTACGAAGCATGTTTCCAGATGCTTGGAATTATCTGTCTGCCATTAGTCCAGAAAAGTGGTGCCTAACACACGACGATGGCCGTCGTTGGGGTATTCTAACTACCAACATATCCAAAGTTATAATAATGTCTTGCGCGGGCAGCGCCATTTGCCAATTCGTGCATGCATTGACATGACATTCATCGGACAGTTGCGTTATTTAAGACGAGAAGGGAAGATGCTTCACATTGTCGCAATCCTTTTCCCCAAAGATATGGCGGCGTTTTAAGAATGCTGAGGAAGGCAGGCGCCCACAGAGTCATTGAGTTCGATGGCCCATCGGGCGTATACAAGGTTATCACAGGCCGGCGTGTCGATGGTAAAAAGAATACGCAAACCACAGGTTTTTTGATAAGGCATGCTCTTGTGGAAAGTGGCAGAATTACAGGCTTCCTTGTTCACAGCTTTGGCGGTGTGCAGGAATAGAGGTGACAATCCGGATTGCTTGTGGATCAGCAGTTTACCAAAACAGAGGTGGGCCGTGCAGTATTCAGGGAAGTTTAACCACTGCCGCATCAAGATACTTGGCTCCATCTGGATGGGAACTGCAGGCAGACAGAGCAAATTTGTTGCACGTCGGGCAGGGCGGGTTCGAGCTAGCAGAATTCGAATGAGATGGATGAAAGGGATCCAGACGAACCAAGAAGATGTCGAAATTGTCATCAACGGGTCACAATAGGAGAAATTATCCGAATTATAGGTCTTGATTTGATCGAATTCCTAGAAATTGAAACTCATGTCAGTGCACTCCAGTTTGGCGTAGGGTTCATTCTAGTTCATTTGTGTTCGATTCAGGATTTATTTCAAACAATTACATTAGTGACTTTCATTGTTCATTTGTCAAATGCATGTTTCGTTCTTGACTATGATAAGTATTGAATTAACCAGTTTAAACGTGCAGCCCAACAGTTTTATTCATTTATCGCTACATCCCTATCCATTGATTTGTTGACATATTGTTAAAGGAATGCTCGGATGGTGTTTATATGTGTTAATGCTCTTGCATATAGGATATGGTATTTTGATGTTTGATTGACAGGGAGTTATGGCCGCTTTATAGGGGAGACTCTGTCAAATTTTTTTTAAAACTTTTAAAATATGACTACAAATAGATTGCTGCAATATATGAATACATAGAGGGATAACAAATGTTTCTCAAAAAAATAACTGATAGGCATGGAGTTTTAGTCGATTTATAAGGGATATATGGTCAAAATTTTCTCAAAAAAAAGTCTTGAACGCGATTTATAGGTCAATATACACAAACTTTTGGATACTTATGCATAACTATTGAATTTAATCGATGCAGATATTTGCTTGGGATTATGGCCGACACTCCTATCCCTGCAGGCCTACATCCAGGACCATACGTGCACGACATTATATCGGCGAACTGCACACCGGGCACATTCCATTTTTCAGGACATATTGAGGGCAATCAGTTAGATGTCAGACGGTGTGACAGAGGATTTTGGGAGCATACGCCTATTCCTGATCGGGTTGTCGTTATATTGCCTTGGCTGGATTTGAGGGGTGCTTGAGAGTGGATATCAGATGGTTGATCATTCTTTGATCACAAGTTTAGTGGAGAGATGGCGGCCCGAGACGCATACATTCATTTACCGGTTGGAGAGGCTACCGTGACATTACAGGATGTAGAGGTGTTGTGGGGGTTGCACATCGATGGTCCACCGGTTATAGGGATAGACACATACCGCAGCATTCAGGAGTGGGGAGCCATTTGTGAGGAGCTCATTGGATTTTCTCCTGCAGTTGGATACTTTGATGGACAGAGGCTAAAATTGGGATGTTTAGCAAGAGCTTGGATACAGAGTTGCCACCCGATGCTTCAGATGTCGAATGTAGGCAGCGTGCGCGCATCTACCTCTTACTGATATTAGGTGGACATTTATTGTCCGATAAGTCCGGCAACAAAGTCCTTTGTTGTATCTTCCATTACTGCGGGACTTGAAACTGTTGGGCAATATAGTTGGGGTAGTGCGTGTTTGGCGACTCTCTATCGGTCACTTTGTGATGCCACGAATCCTGCCAAATCGGCTATTGCCGGTCCATTAGTTTTGCTACAGGTACATTGCACCCAATAATGATATGTCTTGATTTTTTCATATTATCATTTTAATTTTAACATTGATTCTAATTTTCCAACAGCTCTGGATTTGGGAACATATACCAACCATGCGTCCGGACCGAATCGTGCCGTTGGCATTACCCTGGTCCATATGGAGCTAGGTGCGCGTTTCGCCCTTATTTCGGTTGTTTAATGACATTTGTTATCGAAACAACTTTAATTTGTTCTAAACAGGTTCCTACTTTATTAAATATAGGTGGAATAATGACTTGGACGTACACAGAGTTGTTAGGCATGTTGTGCCCGCATTCCGAGATCAGTTGACAGGCCTGCGTCCTGAAGAGGTATTGTACATATGTCCGGACAATAGAAATATTTGAAAATTGCCAGTAGTCTTGTCATAATATTTCTTGTCAACTGAAAGCATAAGTTTGTCAGATTGCATTTTGTAATGGAAATTGAGTTTGTTGGCAGGGAGTTAACCTCAGTTATAGGGGAGATCTGCGAAATTTTTTTAGAATTTCAAAAATTTTTTAATTGACCGGAGACTAGCACTTTTTTCATGAAATTGTCCAATTTGAATATTGGGAAGTTTTATTATTTCTTAATAGAAAAAATGAAACAACTTTGATTTTATATTTTTTCAGTTCATATGGCAGCCATATTCGGAGGACGTTCTCGCTTCTCTTCCTGCGTATTGTACTGCAGGTCGGGACATTTGGAGATCCGTAACGTATCTTATTTGTTGGGATGTAGTTGAGCCGCACCTCCCTCATCGGGTTATGCGGCAGTTTGGGTTTCATCAGTCCCTGCCTGATATGAGGTTGACAGATAATCAGGCAGCTCTACATTCTCTAGATCGTCGTGGTAGGGCGAATCAAGACTGGAGCACCACGCATAGACAATATATTGATATTTGGACTGATCGACGTGTGCATGTACAAGATGGCACTGTAATTGAAGATACTACATATCCATCGATGAGTATGTTCAGTGGTATCGGGAGCGGACGGTGATTTATATTTCAAATCCGAGTCGATTTCCCTTTCCCAGAGGGCTTTCAGGGTGATAGCGCTAGGGCACAATATCTTGTAAGTTTATTTCCAACCCACTTTTAATAATCACTTTGAGTTTGCTCACTTTTTAAACTATTTTTTACCACAGTATCTCCTTCTTATTCTTATATTTGTTTCTCCAGAGCGATGCCATGTCTCGCATGTATTTCATGGCACAGGACTCTCTTGCAGTTAGTGATGAACAACACAGCAGATATTTTCAAGAGTTGAGGGACTTTGCATCCACATCTTTGCATCATGTAGGAGAGTCACGCCGACTTGCATTTCGCCCTCCACACGTACCACAGGAGATTCCACTATATGCTGATCCATGTCGTGTTCAGCGAGCTCCTAGAAATACCCACGGAAGTCAGCATGGCGGTGGACGACGTCGTAGACTCCGATCACCAGAACCCGCCATACAAACTGGATTCCATGGAGGTTCGATGGCTACTGAGGACCAAGCTGGCACATCTACTTTTGTCACACCTCAGACCGAAGTCATGCATGAGAGAGGTGTATCGATTGGGCATTCTAGGTCCCCTGTGACTTTTCAGAGTTTACGCCGATAGGGACTCACATCGCATACTTCTGAGCAATGTGAAGGAGGTGAAGGCACAAGCACTCAAATTCAAGATGCTACACTGTTGACACATATTACTCAAGTCCATACAGTAGTGCCAAACCAACCACGTCGAAGTCAAAGAATACCCAAACCAACAACATGTGGTACTCATGGAAAACTTGGGCAGCATTGATGGCACGCTACTTATATCGTTATTGTATAAATAACCTAACTTATGGATTGCATACTTTTTTGTGTGAATTTTGTATATATTCTAAAATTTCACGAATATGAGTGGAACAATGCCATCACGCGTATCTTATTTCTCACTTTATATGAGTACTCTTTTAAACAAAACAAAAAAAACGGCTACATATGTAAACCAAAAAAGGTAAACTATACTAACTCTCCTCTAGTTCATACACGGTAAGTTAGTTACATGTCGGAACTTCTCAAAAAAATTAAACATACTATTTATAATATATTTATAAATTGTTATTTTTTACCTTTTGTTATTCATAGTTTCCCCATTAAATATAGGGAACAAACTTTAATATTCTCATATGGGCAAGTTAAAAATAAGATTCCAATTTTGTTCATGAAAATTAAGCCCTAACTTATTAACAATTTAATTTTATTTTATATTGACCTTGAAAATAAAGAAGCAAGATGTGTAGTTATTTCGTTAGTATAGTTGTATTATAATAAAATTATTGGCTCACCACATGGTGGATTGGCTCGGAAGTTTCGACCCATGGGAGAAAATCGCTCCCTAATGTTCTAAAATGATTCAATTTTTTTGAGTCGAGCCAACGACTATAAACGAAACGCTTGTTGGGAGGCAACCCAATAATAATATTGTAGTTGTGTTTTATGTGTTTCTTACATTTTGGTGTGATTTAATTGACTAATTAGATATATTTCACTTGTTTGCAGGCGGTACCGGAGTTTCATCATTATTTTGGAGGTACAATTGAGGAACAAGTGTAAAAAGGGAGGTTTTCTTACCAAATTGTGCTTTAAGTGTTTAGAATTCCCAAGCATACATACAATGTTGCATTTTCAGTATATTCAAGTGAGTTTTGGTGATAACATGTTTATACATGCTCATGGACTCATTTGATGTGCATGTAATGCCCAAAAGTGCCATTTTTATGTAAAAATGCAAAAATGATCAAAGAACCTCACCCCTCGATTTGCAATGTAGATGTGTTTGATGTGTTTTAAGAGATTGGATATTGTACTTTTGGTATATTACATGTGCGTGGGAGTTAGAATTGATAAAACGTTTTTCCAACGGTGTTTTGGAATTGGCCGAAAAAAGGGAGAAAAAGTTGAAAAATTGCAGTTTCTGCAATTAGTGCAGAGAAATACAGATCCGAGCTCGGATCATAAGTGCCCAGAACGGATCCGACCGCGATCCATTGATCCGAGCTCGGATCCAAAAATTTATATATCCGAGGGCTCGTCTGTGCTTCTGGCGGTGCGGATCCGAACCATGTCGGATACGAGGGCTTTCAGTAACGAACCGAGCTCGGATCGGTTCGCGGATATAACAGAACGAAGCCTCGTTTCTGCACTTTTCAAAGTTTTCTTCCCTCTTTTCACCGAACCCTAACCCTCTCGCTCTAATCTTCCATTTCATCCGTTCATTCCCTAATCTTTCACCTCAAAATCATTTTCCAACATCTTGTGATCATAAACCCTCAAAGATTTCATTTGAAAAACATCAATTTTGGGGGATTTCAAGTGTTAAAACGAAAGGAGGGCCGAACTGAAATCTTCAAATTTGGAGCGAATTTGGACTGTTTTCTTCCTCATTTTTCAACAATATCTTCTTCTATCATCACTCTACACATTTGAGGTAACAATTTGCAACTTCCTTTGAGATTTTATATTTCCTATTTTTGCATTTTTCTAGTTTTTGGCATATTGTGATAAATGCATATTTGTTGAAATTTCTTGTTATAAATGTGCTACATTGTACTAGAATATGTTGTTACTACTATTTTTATGCTTAGTATGGAAAAAGTTGTGGATTTGGTGATATTTTTGGTATATTTTTTTAATTTATTAGGCTTGGCAATTTGGTTCTTTAGGCTTGTGAATGTTGGTTTCCATTGAATATATAAACTTGTTTTGAGGAGTATAAGTCACTGTTGTACCAATTAAAAATGATATGCGATTAATAGAACCAATTCCATTGGGTAAAAGAGTGTGTTTATGATTAAGTTTAGCACATTCAATTTTTTTTTACTTGAAATCTCTTATCTCTTTGAGTTCAATTGTAATTGTTTTGGTAAATTTGGAGCTCATTCGTATGCACTTTATTAAGAATGGGTATAGTCAATTGTGGTGTGATTCGTGGATAAAGTTATGAATATATCGGCATGTTCATTCTTGAAATAATGGTTGAGGTTCAAATGATCGAACTCTTTGATGAGATTCTACCTGAAAATATGCATTTGAGTTTGAAATGAGTTAAGTAGGATCTTTGGTTGTTTTTTTGGTACATGTTGGCAGGGAGTTTAGCCCTTTTATAAGGGGAAACTCTGCTGAAATTTTCTTAAATTCTATGTGAGCAAGTTTATATTGTTCTAATGAACGTTCATCTTGTTTTTATATAGGAACTATGGCTCGCACAAGGAGGGCTCGTATTCGTACTCCTACACCATCTTCAAGCGAGGAACGCACTCCCTCACATGAAGAGTCGCCTGAGGAAGAATCTCCTTCGCCTGAGCCACCACCTCGGTCTCGCCGGAAGACCGCATCCACTAGCCGCGACGAGACGCTTCCAGATTATGACACCACTAGATTCACGTCACTCGAGAATCAACAGTGGTACGAAGCAGGCTTAGATAAGGAAATTATCATTGAAAAGCACCTGACACCGGAGGTGGATGCGCACTACCACATCTCTACGGCATTCAAGAACTCGGATGGGAAAACATCTTCAATTGCCCAAGCACTACTACCCCAACTGGTCCGGGAGTTCTACGCCAATGTAGAAAACAAATAGAGTCACAGTGGCAACCTCATCGTCTCCTGGGTTCGAGAAAGAGAGTGGCTCTTAACCGGGATACAGTCGCCAAAATCGCCAAACTCAAAGACGAAGGAGTGGATGTTAAATTGACTAAGGAATTCAAGGCACGCGACCCTTGGCAGGTGGGAGAAGCGGTAGCACGTCTAAAGGGTCAATATAGGGAGCGAGGAAGTTCAAAGAAGCTCACCGTATATGCCGACTCCTTCGAGCATAGGTACCACTTGATCTTCTATCTCTTCGCCTTCAATGTGGTACCCAAGAGGAGTGGAAAACGGGAGCTCCGCAATAGTGACCTCTACTTCTTGGATAAGATGATGCATGGTGTGGGTGGGCAGTTGACTGGTATTCCTTTGCCCAATCATCATCAGTTACATGTGGACCACAGCTCGCATGAGGGCTGGCGAGACTTGCTTTGGATTCCCTCGACTGCTATCCCTCATTTTTGAAAGCTCAAGGTTCCTCTTGGAACCGAGCGAGCCATTGTCACTAGGTCCGCCGAGGTCAGTGCCTCGATACTCAAATCCTTGAGTATCTCTACAGATTTTGGAGCTGCTCTGGTTCGAGACACTGGAGAAGCTTTGACTTCTGCTCAGCCCCCACCTCACACTCAGCAGGAACCAGAAGCTCAAGAGACAGGGGCACAGCAGACTCTTCCTCCACCCGTTTCACGACCACACCTCCGCCGCGATCCAAGTGGCAAGAGCTCCTCAATGCCATCTGCTGTATGGAGACACGAGTCGTCGAGCGCATTGACCAGACCGAGAGGATGATGACAGAGCGACTCGACAGACATGATCGCCGTCTTCGTGCGATCGAGGATCATTTCCATATCCGCCGTCACCTACTCCGACGCCTTAGCAGGAGGAGGGGCATATTGGTACATCACAGGGTCCTCATTAAATGAGGACAGTAGACCCTCGTTCTGAGCAGCCATGAAGATCTTTAGCTGATTACATCTTTTGTTGCTATATTTTTCTTTTATTGTGTTCGGTTTAAACTTTGTAGTTTTCATATTGGATTCTCTTGTGCTACTCATGGTTTTTTGTACTCTTTTGTTTCATTGTGAAGAGAATTTGGATGATCGTGAGGATTAATGGCTTCAAATTGAATCACCACTTATTTTGAGGGAAGTTTCAGTTTCTATTACCTTCTTCACAATGAGGACATTGTTAAATTTAAGTGTGGGGAGGGATTACTTTATCTTATGGGGATTGTGTCTTGAAATGCATGATTTGAGTTGTCTATGGCTTAAAAATGTTGAATTTTATTTGGAAATGTTGTATTGTGGTTAATTTTCTTGAAATTGAGGTTGTTGACAGGGAGTTTTGTCCATTTTTATGGGGAAATCTGTAAAAATTTTTAAAATATTTTCCAATATTTCAAGTTAATGGCCAAAATGTTCAATTCTGTGAATTGTGAGTGGATTAATGAGTGGATTAAATGAGTGATTAATGCATTAATTTTGTGAAATTGTGAAGGATATCGATATATGAAGTTCATGCACGAGCTGAAAGAAGTGTAAGGATTGTCCAGAGGATAAAGTACACAAGAAATTAGGAGCAAAAATGAAGAAAAAGGAAAGAAGCGAAAAATGGAAAATTTAATGCACGGATCCGAGCTCGGATCCGTGAGACCAAAGAGAGATCCGATCCTCGTCTGTACTTCTGGAGGAGTGTATCCGAGGTCAGAAGATCCGACCCCGGATCCATCATGGAAGTCCTCGGATCCTAAAGATCCGAGCTCGGATCTATATTCAACCCTCGGATCGAGGCTCGGATCTGTCTCTCTCTTCAGCAAGTGGCACAGCCGTTTTCCTTTACCTTTCTCACAACTTTTCCAGCTATTTTGAGGACAGAAATCGGTGGCACATGCTTCTGCAACAAAAGAGAAGACCAAATGAGTTGTAGACAAAAGAAAATATCATATCTTTGGTTCAGCTACTGACTACATTAGAGATAGCACTC